TATGATAGTGACTAATTTTCTCGTTAACCACTCCACTTTATATATCATTCGATAGAGAATGTCACGGACTACAAAATGATGTATAAGACAGTCAGAAGGAAAATGTAACTGGGTAGTCTAAGGTTCGAAATACTCACTAGTATCTCGCAATTTTTGAGGTGTCCCGATTAAAAAATTTCTCCAGCTGATATGACGCGCGAGAACTGACCTCAAAACACACATCTATACCTATTTCCATTTAAGGAATCTGAATATCACGTCAGAAATGATGAAAAAAGTAATGGCGAAAAAATATACCTGATTTTTGACATGCGCGCAGTATTTTGCGGCTTTCTCTATGAAACTGTGGTCTAATCGAATAAATAAGGCGAGATTCATGATCAGCTCGAAACGGCGAATAAGAATATGTGTGTTCGAAAAAAATATAAAATTTGCTCTAAGTTCAAATTATTCACCTTATATCTTTGTATTTTTCACTTAACAGAGGCATTCGAGTATTTTTTCACTTTATTTGTATATTACAACAAGATATCCAGCCGCTAACATTGAGGTTGAACAGTTTGTTCAAAAAAGATTTGCTAGAAAAACATTTTTCATTAATTTACAAAATTGAGACGATACTTAGGGATTTTTTGTTTCCTCAATTACTGGCCACTATTAATGCATCTTCTTCTTACATTAATTTTAAAATATGGATTCAAGCTTCTTTTGGGCACCTTAAACTATTATATTTACCTTTCACTCTCTTTTGAATGTTAGAACATTCAGAAGAGCGTCTAAAGTGGACCTTAGGATCTTAAACTATAAATAATGGAAATAAATAAGCTCTAACTATACCTGAACGCATAGTAGGAAAGTATGAATGATAGAAAATGTCTATAAGAACTTCGCATTTTCACATGAACTGTAAGGGTAAAAATGCGTACTCATACTACGGAGATTTGTCTACATTCCTAAAAAATTTTTCCACACATGATGAAGTGCAACATAGAATAACTACGCATAAAGAATTCGGTGCCGGCGAGAACAAAAATCTGTTCTTTTTATAAAGGCTTTTTAATCTGGGAAAGTACTGTCAGCTGAAATCGGTTCTGTACATGTATTTAAGACACTGAAAACAACGATGATATTCGCAAAATAAATAGTATAAAAGAACTTAACTTTTTAGACATTTCACCTAATTTAAAGAAAGTTCTTATCGTTACCGTCTTGCACACATATATCCACAGGACGAAACAAAACACTGCATATTCTGTTTTCACATGGACTACCATGAAATAAAGCATCTTGCTAGGCTCTTATTAACCCATCCAACACAATACCAAACCCAACTCTGACCCAAACCCAATACCCAAGTCTAGACTAGGATACCCCAAACCCAACCAAAGAATTGGGTTTGAGTTTGTAACATACCTAGCTGACACACCGATTTCCTGAGATAGTAGTAAGTATTTTGAACCTTAGACTATCCAGTTACATTTCGATCGAGTTGAGTATAAAAAGCTACTTTTAGAATTTTGGAAGTGTTTTTCGAGGCATTAGAAAAGGTAAAACTTCAAAAACCCTAACGGTATTTTCTTCAGGTTCCAGGATAACAGTTCTTTTTTTCCGATATAAATCACAGAAGGATCTCACGAGTGTATGGATATGTTTATCTAACCATATTTTGTTCTTCTACCATTTCTAATCGCAATCAAAAAGCACAATCTGCTAGGGCCTTACCTTTCGGTATGCGAGGTCCGTTAAGTAAGGAGTAGACATACTTTAAGCTTTGGCACGACAGATGTCATTTGTTTATTTGGTAGAGAGGAATTTCTTTCAAACACTGCGCAGTAAGAGTGGTTCGGTCTGCTTTTCGAAGGCGACACAGTCGCTCTCTGACGAGTCACTTCAACAAAAGCCCTATGCAGTTGGCGCCTCCTTCGCTAAATTTCACAGAAACAGAAAGCAAAATCAATTTTTCTTCTCTAGCATTATTCGCTGGGACTAAGAAGCTTTTAATTTCTCCCAGCGGCAAAAATATTTCTAAAATTCTAAAAAATAGTTTTTTATACTCAACTCGATGAGCTTTACAATCAGGACGGATCAGAAATTTTTTTTGGAGCAAAAGGTTTTTGAGCCTGGAAACGTTCGACTAGATTTCAAGCACAAAAAGGAGCGAAATTCAGTTCGGGTATTTTCCTCGTCAGTTCGCTCTGTTTTACAATATAAGTGAAAATCACCAGACAAATCTGAGATACTCGTATATGGAACCTATATCACTAATTCAAAAGCTCGCTTTTAAAGTCCAACAACTTACTGTTATGTAGAAGAATTTCACCTTCAATTGAAAATTTTATTATTTTATTATTAGTCATATCACATATATATACAGCGCCATTTTTGTTGTCATAACCCATGGCACCTGAGTAAAAATTATTTAGAAGATAGATACCATCTAAACCGGTTGTTAACATTGAATTATATAATTTTAATGCATCCCCATTCCAAACAATAAAATTGTCATGACAATCCGATGCAATTTGCATTGGATAATTAACATTTGATACAACTGTTATTCCTTCAGCGGCATTCAGTGACCATTTCTGTATACGACGATTTTTTACATCGCCTATATAAAGATCAAATTTATCATTATTTTCATCTAAATAAATACCATAGGGCTCATTTAATTGATTTAATTCCGAACCACTTGTACCATTACCAGCGACAATTGAAAAATTTTGATATTGTTGTTGTGCATACCATATAACAACTCTATGGTTGCCATTTTCAGGAATATAAATATTCATATATTTATCTATATAGAGTGAATAACAGTCTCCATTTCCCTCTAAAAGTTTCTTTCCATTTGTCGAATTTTTAGACCAGTACCATACTCGATAAATGTAAAACTCTTCTTTAAAGTCAAAATGTACTTCAAGTACATAAAGATTTTCATCAACATCGACAAATATCGAACGTGGTTTATCTAATATTGGTAATCTAATACTATCTTTACCAATAATTATACTAGCTTTTTCAATTGAATCAGGTGAAAACATTACTATGCGATCATAATCTGTTATATAAAGTTTTTTATAATAATCTAAGAATAAAGTTATAGATTTCTAATTTCCAAATTTCCAATCAAATTCCTGTAAACCAGGTCCGACAATATTTTCACCTGTTTGATTGTATTTAAACATGTATGATCGCGTGCAGAATGATGTTGAATTATCAATAGTTATTATATCATCTGTTTTTTACAACAAATAATAAAAAAAACGTATCAATCAGCGTTGCTGTTTTAAAGCTATTATATGACTTCTTTTTTAACGTAACTTTCAAAAATCATATCACTACCGTACCGAGTATGATTGGCAACATAAGATCGCTTGTTTGCTCTGTGTTTACTTCGGTAGAACCTCAAAACTACTATTTTTTCTGAAAACAGACAAATCTTTCACGATCTTTTGAAACTGGTCGTCGAAGATCGGTCGGTCTCAGACTTCGTTCAGTTATGAAAGCTTTCAGTTCTAAATGTAACGACGTTATCTTTCATAGAAATCTGAATAAAAAGATTTTTTTTATATTCTGAAAGCATTGGTCATAGGCTTGAAAATATTTCAAATGAAAAAAGTGAAAGTCAAAACCTTTCTCAAAAAATCTGAATGAGTCCAGCCGTATTCAACGTTGATTCTAACTAACGAGCTTTTTCTACAAACTTTTGGATACTGGAAAATTTGCGTATCTTTTCTAGTCCTATACTTGCCTGAAGGATTTTCTGTTATAGTGGTTTGTGTTAGTTGTTTTTTGGTCGTTGATCTTGTTGTACGAACCATAGGTAAAACCGCAACATTTTTTTTCGCGGGTGTTAGAAATAAACACATACTAACAGCTAATAAAATAATAATGATTACAATACATATAGTAAACAGCGTAATCGCTTTAATATGTTCTTTACATAAATCTTTTATTGTTCTGGGCGAGCGATCATATGTTGGTTCTAGTGGCACAGGAAGGTCGACAAAATTCATTCTAGAAATACCGTTTCTATGTTGTTATTTGCCTTTACCTTTACAGTTTTATTATTTACTTCTAAAATAAATTACTAAGCCATATGAATAATGGCACTACCTCTCAGTCTTTCTCTCAGAATTAAATAATGTGTGTTTGGACAGAATGATTACTAATATAGAAATATTACCGTTGTACTTGTAAATGTTTATTAAATAGAAAGGAAGAGAAACGAGAGTAAATAATAGGAAGGACGTGAATTTTGTCTTTTCTTTTCTCCTAACTGTACTACTATAAGGTAAGGAATTACGAAAATTTCGGTACTGATACCGATAGTTTAAAAAAAATTTCGAGACTTTCGATACAGGTATCAATGGACTATCGGGTAAAGGGTGGGGATGCCATTCGAGTATCGGTATCAGATTTTCAATAACACCGTTAAGGTACCAAGTATCGAAAATTTCCAAATCATTAGAACAGAGTTATATAGAACTTTCTCATTCTCTTTCTTTTTCTTCTTTTTTTAAAAAATGGTAAAAGTCTCAGATAAAAGCCCAGCTTTGATTCTAGAAACACTGTAACTCGGAAAGCAAAATCAGCAAAGAGAAAAAAATACAAAATACCCGATATCTGTCATTAATTTTGGGAGTGACTGGATATAGTTTTGGGAGACTCGTAGTGTACTCCAATGAAAACTGGTACTTTCCAGAAAACTTATAGAAGAACATCCCACAAAAAGCATTTCAGTTTCCTTTTTCGATGTTCTATCACTCGTAGAAATTTGGATACAACCGGGCCTATACTTCCACTTTTGTTGGGAAAAACAGGGAGTTATCCAGATTCGTGATTCCAAACAGAGGGATAAAATACTAAAACCACGAATTGTCTGAGTAACCTGTAATTTAAACTTACGAGGAAACCTCTTTAGGTGTCCAGCTCTGTTTCAGCTCATATTTTGCTGATCGATAGGGCGCATGAGTGTACCAAAAATACTAAAAGGATTTGGAGTCCAAATCCTTTTAGTCCTAAATCCACTTGTCCTAAATTGAGCGAGATGCCCGATGCGAATATATAGTCAGAATCTTGTGAGTCAAAGTATAGTTCGAGAAACGCTCAAACGTCAGGTTCATATGTCAGATGGCTCCCAGCAGAGTTTGTTTGCATGAGAGTGTCAATAGCTCCTAGCTGACACTGCCAAGAGCACTATCATTTTATCTACCTCTTACAGAATTTTGTTAATTTTTGTAGACTTATGTGACTTTCGAGCCAACACTTTACATTTCACCAATGTCTTTGATATGTGTGGTATGTTTCTAAATCCGTCTCGTATAGCTAGTCGCACGGTATGTGCAAAGCATGATAATCATTTTCCTTTTTTGTAATCTACACCATCTTCTTCGCCACCATGTCAATCAATTAATTTTCATGACATTGTGAATTTCGAAAATATTCAAAAATGGCGTGAATAAATTAGAGGAATAGTTTAGGCAGAAAAGAAATCCGAGGGAGAGACGTAGTAACAGTCTTGCAAAAACAAATAGATTACACCTGAATAAGTGCGTTTGTGACGGTTTGTTCATATTCTTTGTTAGAAGCATTTCTTCAGTAGGGTCCCATTAGCGTACAGTGTTCAGTAGTACTTTAGTGATGGGTGCAAAATTTAATAATTCATACTCCATACGTTTTCCAGAGATGTGAGTACATGGCGGTTTCGAAATTGAGATCGTACAAAAAGATAAAGTTCATCACGTCAGTAGAGAAGGACTTGCTCAATCGAAGACGGTGGAGAGAGAGTACCAACACAATTAATTATTCCTGCTCATCAACTTCCATTGAGTCTTTATCGTGCGCCACATCATTTTCAAGATCCTGATCGCTCACACATAAACCAAATTTATATGCTTTAATCACTGATGAACCATTATCAATAATGGTTTTATAACCTTTGTCCTGGATGCCAAGGCGATTGAATATTTGCACGATCGTACTTTGAATACTGAGTGTGATCCTTTCAGTCGAACAATATCAAGTAATAAAGCTTCAGGTTTATAAGCACTGTCTGTATCATGACCCGTTCTGAGAAAACCCTTTTTGATCCTTCTGCGGGTTGGAAAATGGAAAGAATGTTTTTGTTCTTCGCATGTTCGTTCATGGACATAAGCAGCTAATGCAGGTTTCTTGTATTTGTATCTCATATTTGTATGTATGGACTATAATGTGGGCTAAAAGAAAACTCTAAAAGTATATGTTAGGACAGGTTTTAGTGAAACTATACACGAAAATACAAACAAAATTTTCATTCAGTCATATATTGTGTAAAAGTTCAGTGTCCACTACAAAACGGCTACAAAAAAGTCGGGTTTATAATGCAAAAAAGTTGCTAGGAAAATTGGATTTTACATAAGATGTGGCGAAGATAGACCGTATATTGTTTTGAATTCTTTGTCTCAGCATGTGAGAGCAAAAAACGCGAGGACAACTATTTCTCTTTGCCATAACAGAGAATTGATCAAAGAATAAATTAAGAACAAATTTATTCAGTAGAACTTGAGAAATTGACATTTTGAGTTACGGAGTACAACCGTACAATAGCAGCACAAATCACTCAGATGTTCTATATCCAATAAATTAAAACTGTTTGTTTGCTTTTTCTCGATAGATTACGAAGAGAACACGCCTCCTACCGGTACGTACCAACTAATGTCAGTTACAAAAACAGCATAGTTTACGGTAGCTGCCTGTACACAACACTAATTGCCTTTGCGCGTCTAGTAGTGAAATAGTTGGGGAAAACACAAATACACGACTAACTCGGACCGGATTAGTTAATTTTTCCTTTAAAACTGCGAATTGGATACACAAAAATGGCCCATGACGGTCCAGCTGTCTAGATTAAATTGTTTTGGTCTGACTCAATCAAAAAGCAATTGTGGATGAAAGAGGTCGTCGAAATATTATTCTGTCATCGGAATCTACAGTGAACTGGTAGTATCTTCTGACGTTTGTTGGCCCCATACTGCACAATTGCTCTCATAAGGAAACATTTTCAGATGATAACTCCGTTTTTCTATGGAGACTATATGATAATAGGCAGTCGATGATGCTGATGTTGAGTATCATAGTGAGAACTGCCCTAAGGGTTTCGGTCACTAGGTTTTTGAAAAACCGATTTTTGAGTCGAAATTTTTTGTCAAAATGACTTTCAGATCTGTCTGAGTTGTAGAGCATGTCGCTTACCGATGTAGATGTTCTTAGACCTATCATCATTTTGACAAAAACTTTCGTCTCAAAAATCGGTTTTTGGAAAACTTAGTCACCGAAACCCTTTGGGCAATTCTCATGATACACCGATATTTCCGGGAACGAGATTACCGGAAATTTTTTATAGTACACATTTAGTAATTTTGGCAGTATGTGGTGAGAGGTGGGAATGTAGACAATGTGAGAGTGAGTTCGAAATGTAGTTTCACACAAAGCATATTTTCATGGTTGAGAATGAACTATAAAAAATTCATCGTAAATGTCGTTTGCTGTGGTCGTGTCGAGTTCTCATTATGATACTCAGCATCAGCATCATCGACTGCCTATTAACATGTAGTCTCCATAGAAAAACGGAGTTATCATCTGAAAATGTTTCCTTATGAGAGCAATTGTGCAGTATGGGGCCAACAGACCTCAGAAGATACTACCAGTTCACTGTAGATTCCGATGACAGAATAATATTTCGACGACCTCTTTCATCCACAATTGCTTTTTGATTGAGTCAGACCAAAACAATTTAATCTAGACAGCTGGACCGTCATGGGCCATTTTTGTGTATCCAATTCGCAGTTTTAAAAGGAAAAATTAACTAATCCGGTTTGAGTCAGTCGTTTATTCGTGTTTTCCTCAACTCTCATGCCTGCTTATAGTGTAGCTGTGAAACGTCGTAGAACTCTGCGGTTGAAATGTTCAGATTAACGAGAAAATGTATGACGGCGTGGCCATCCGGCCTGAAGCCCCAATTTTTATTTGCTTACGTAGCTTCAGCCAGATATCAGAAAAATGTGATTTTTTTACCAGTTATAGTACATATGCAGTGCTGGTTCTTCCTCGATAATCATTAATTCATTCAAAACAATAGAGATATCTGCACGTGGTTCGTCTTTCGCTATTGCTTCAGACTTTCTTTTAGTGATGCTTATTAAGTTTTGTTACGATCTGCATTGAATTTATAGCTTAACTCCAGAACACCTGAGCTGACACATTAATTTTTCATGCTTGCAGTAGCCAAAGAAAACAATACAATAATCGTGATTTGAATCATAAATCAAGTGAAAATCAAACAATTTTTCACAGAACGAACACTATCAAAAGCAATACAAGTGTACTACCCCGTCAATTTAGTTGGAAATTTCTTCGTAAGTTCATCAAACGGTGTTTTACGCTCTAGGATTTATGGTTCTTGATAAAAGACTTGCGTCATCAGAGTAAGCTATATTTTTAAGTATTTACTTCAGTATCATTCATGCTATTCGTTATAATGACGATAGTACGATATAACGAAGTGCTATTGATTTATGATTCAAATCACGATTATTGTATTATGTTTTCTTTCTGTTTGTTATTGGTAGAAACATTGTTGTTGTGCTTAATGAACAAATATTGTCCAGCGTTCGATTTGACGCATGAGAAATCATTGTTGATTTAAGAACACGAATTATGATTATCGGGGGAGAACCAACAAATTTCATTTTGCTTAATTACTGTTTCTAACAGCATAAATACCACGATCATTCGCAAAACTTAATCATTGAAAAAAGTCTTTTCACTCTGACTAATCTCCAACTTTCACTAATAGTAGGTTTAGGTTAATATATTGTTATAGGTATAAAGTAAGCATTTACTATTAAGAATGATATATCAAATCTACATCGTTGTATTTAGTGCTTTCTGTGCAATTTATGGTGCCAGTTCTGTCACTCAAGTACACAGACAAGAGCAAAGACTATCAGAGGTAGGCGAGTCTTTCCTTCTTCGA